AGAAAATGACTTTCGTCTTGAGAGGAGAGGACGCTGCTGCTGCTGCGGCTGCGGTTCATTCACCCCGCACGCTGCTGAAGGAGCTGCTTACAGCTGGGCGGGGCGATGCATATCTTTACCGCCCTTTTCACGGCGGCCCCTCTCACGGTGCCGCCGTCAAGATACCCCCTCGCCACGTACCCTACTCGTCTGCACCCAATGTCAATGTGCCCTCGACCACCCTGACGTCGCAAAATATTTCAACTGGCACGAACTCGCAATATACTTGAAAGTGCTATGGACTAGAAGGTTAAAACATTCTCAATTGTTCAAAAATTGACGCTCAACCCTTATTTAGTTGAACACGTCCAAAAGAGTTCAAATTTTCAGTTTGGCATGATTTGCGACAACATTTGCATCGCCAGTTAAAACACTAGATGATTATTTTCCTTCGACACGGTCATCATGGCTTAGCGATGACAATCGATGATAGTTGAGCATCATCATCATCATCGTGGTCTTTGCCACGACGCATTGTGGACAATGGGCTCTCCTGCACGCGGCGGCAGCTCTGAGGCAGGGCCGCTATTGAGACGCCGGTTTGTTTTCGTTCGGGCGGAGGGACCTGAAAGAGGGAGAAAAAGAGAGACGCTAGGAGGCTTGAGACGCGCCGGAAGAGGGGGGTGGGGTAGGGGTGAGAGAGAGGGAAATAGGGGGAGGAAGGGGGAGAGAGAGAGAGAGAGAGGGGGGGGGGGACGAAGGGGTGCTCGCACAATGACACGACGCCTCACACCTTTTTGGTCGGGGGAGGAGACGCTAATCCTGACGACGCAACGGGCGTGAGAGAGAGAGGTGGGCCTCTTCAATTATGAGCGTCTTTACATGCGCACACTCCTTCTCGCCAACCCAAAAAGATATCTAGCTCAAATTTACCGAGTAAAGAAAATGGGAGTATAGGCGTGAATTGCCCATCTCATACTCGGTAGATATTATTGAAATTTTCGATTTCAAGTACTATTTGACGCAACTGGACAACTGTTGACTATAAAATAACGTATAACAATTTACAGTAACATGTCCCGTCACCTGTTCATCATCATAAGAAGATGGACAGTCAAGAACTGTCATACCGGTTAAAAGTAGATTTTCCATTAAAGGAGTCGTGCAATTACAAATTCAGGTAGTAAATGTAAAGCGCTCCGCATCGACTTGAAATCGAATGAGAAGAAAGAAAAACCAACACATATTTCAGTGTGCCAATGCCTTTGCCTACATCGTACCAGTACGTAAACCTTTCTGGAGACTTCAAACTATTCCGCCGGCGCCCCTCGCAGTAAGCAGCTCGTAAGTTGTGAGATAATGAGGATAATTAGTACCGGCCGGTCCCAGCAGCCTGCATTACGAGCCATTTGGGGGGCACGCTGCCCAAACGGACGGCCCCGCCATGAGGACTCTTTTTGAGCTGTCAGTCTCGCCTCGTGGCGGGGCGTGGCGGGGCGTGGCGGGGCGCGGCGCTCACACCTCTCCCAGGCACTTACGTCAGCCGCGGGCAGCGCTGTCCTTTGTCCGACTGCTCGCCCCCCTTCACAAACGACAACGCTGCGGCGGACGTCTTTTGTTTCACGCCACACACCTTTTCCGTCTTGCGCGCGCGCTGCTTCTCGATTCGCTCATGCGAGATATCGAAGATCGAGAGAGCAGGGGCGGAAGTGCGGCGGCGGTTGGCATGGTGACGGGGGGCCTCAGCACCGGTCCCCGCAGGGGGCTCTTGCTTGAACCGAAACCCGAGCCGGCCAGGGCAGGGGGCGCCGGCCGGGGCGCCACTCCGGCCCCCGCCACCCCCTCGTGACGTCCTCCAGCTGTGTGACTACACGCACCGAGGGGCTCGTGGGAAACCCTTACGTGTCACTCTACCAACAGCAGAGAGTCTACTAACAAAATAAGAGTACAGTAAGCCCACTCATTTTAGTTTAGAAAAAATAAAATGAAAATGTAAGTACTACGAGTCGTACAGCAATCACTACTCCGCACCTAGACCAAATGCACGGAAAACTTATTTCTTTCGTGTGCTTGCAACACCAACAAATTTTAAACGAGAAGAAGCAATTTCCCACATAAGCCCCGTTGGATGCATTCCTTCGCTTACAACTCACAGTCCGTCACTCACTTTGCTTCCGCTGCTCCGGCGCGCCGGGCCAGCCGAGCGACTCTTGACCCTTGAACCCTGCAGCAGTCGGTGCCGGCGTCGTGCCGACGTCACGCCGCCCGTCTGCCAGCCGCCCGTCGTTGTTTTCAGAGGAAACAAAGTGGTCAGGTCGGCTCGGCTGGCACTGCCAAGTCTTTGGCTGCCGCCCGCCCCGCGCCCCCTCAGCAGCCCCGGCCTGCAGGCGCTCGACCCCAGAGGAAGTGAGTCCGAAATAAACAACAGAAGGCAGCAGGCGTTGCCGTCATCGAGCCAATTTCCAGCAATGATTCCGCAGCTTCGTGGGATAGCTCACACCCACTTGGAAGTCGGGGACGGCGTACACTAGTCGTACTGGGAGGTCGTTTCTACTCTATCACCCCTAATCTTCCTTAGAACTATGTACTTTAATTTTCACGATTTTAAGATTATCCAGCTGTTATCTTGGTATTTGCCCTCCTCACCCCTCCCAAATGAAATACAGAGAGGGAGACAAAGCTAAACGAAAGAGCGAGAAAGGGGGAAGGGGGGGGGGGCAGAGGCCAGCGAAACGTCGCTGTACAGAGAAAGAAATCTAATTTCACTGAAGTGCCTTTTAGGGGTTTTCGCCGAGCTCTCAGCTCGGCCCCGCTTGTCGGCTCACATGGTCCCCGTCTCCGGGGGCTTAAAACACTAATCAGATTAAAGCTAACGCGTAAATAGAACAGAGTGGGGGTGAATAGCCAACAAGACCCGAAAAACACAAATTAGTGATGCTTCCTGAGGCAGTTTCCCTCCAAATTCCTAGTCTCTTCTTTTATTCTATTTTTTTTAAAAATATTCTGTGTTTAACTTTATTAAAACGCAAAATTTGAACTAGATAATGAGGTTTGAAGGATTCCGAGAGAATCGTAACGTCGGTTCTAAGAAAACTTTACGTTTTAGCTGAACCACTGCAGTGCTGCAAACCTACCACTACCCCCACCCACTTCTCTTCTCTCTGTACTCCACCCTCTCCCTTTCCAGCGGCCTCTCTCCCCAGAGCCCGCCGGCGCAGCGCTTCACTCGGCTTTCAACCGGACGAAAAATAGCCTTCTTTATAATTTAAAAGAACACACCTCCCTTTCTCCCGAGAAGTGTTGGGTCTAGAGGTAACTGGACAGAACCACGAGGCGGGAGAGGCAAAGGTACAGGGAGCGAGAGGGGGGAGAGAAAGAAAAGGGGAGAGAGGAAGGAGAAGAGGGGGAGAGGGAGGCAGGGAAGAGGGGTGGAGAGAGAGGGAGAGAGAGACGTGAAGCAAAGCAATCTGCAGGGTAATTTGAGAGAGGGAGAGGGGAAGGGGGAGGGGATGCACACATGCATTATTGCAGGAAGGGACTCTCGCCATGTTTCCGGTTTGGGCACCATCTTGCCGCAAAAAGAAGTTTCCCTCTCTCTTGTTTTCCGCCTACTTACTTTCTCTCCCCCCTTTTTCCCCAGTGCGTTGTGCAGGTTGCCTGCTGCCCCCGTTAAACAGCATGGCCGCGGGGCGACACGCGCTCCCCGCGGACATCGTTAACCCTTTGATCCTGCTCGCCTTTCCCCTTCGCCCGTCCGCTCGTTGCCTCTCTCTCTCTCTCTCTCTCTCTCTCTCTCTCTCTCTCTCATTGTACGCGCGCCGTGGGGCCCGCCAGGCCACACCCTCCTCCTCCTCTGCATCTCTCTTTCTCGCGCTTGCACTTGCCATTCCCCTTCCCTCCCTTTCACCGCCGCGTCGCAGTTCAACAGATGCCCGCGGAGAGCGCGCTCGCGTCGCGAACGCGTGTCAGCCCCTACTGAGCCGGCTCGGCTCGGGCCGCGACTCGGGGCTCGCGGCCCGAGCCGCGGGTGACGAACTCGAGCCAGTTTCGGCCCGAGCACGGCCGAGCACAGACCAGTCGTCTCCCCCGAGCACAATGCGCCACATTTGTACGTACTAAATGTCACTCAACGAGTCACTAAATAAGCCTTGCATTTTTCGTTGATGTTTTATAAATGGTAAAATGTTCAACGCCGCACTTTTAGATCTGCGCTCAAAAAATTTCGACACCCGGATTTTTGTTATTTGAAAAAAAAAATAAGAAGTTTTATTAGATTTATTTCGCTTTCACACTCAGGAAACCGTTTCGAATCTGTAAATGCTTTTACTTGGATCAAGAACGATTGAAGTCAGTTGCACTTGTGTACTGATTCCAAACAGATACGTACTAAAGTACAAATAAATTCACAAATTCCAGAACGCAATTTTAAGGGTTCTTTCAGGGAACCCTTCCATTTCAGCGAAACGTTTTCCCTTAAATACCGGTTGGTCCCGACGTATACGAGGCGGGGGAATGAGTCATCCCGGGAGAGACAAACAGCACCTCTTGAATGAAAGGAAAGCTGTTTGGGTTGAATAATAAAGCCACCGTAGGAAGGAGAGAGAGAGAGAGAGCAGTGGGGGAGAGAAGGGGAGGGTGGAGACAAACACGGGGCCGGAATGCACGCCCGCGGGGGCGCCTATACACGCCTGTATACCTGTGGATCTCAATGCGTCAGGACCAAGCAACACACACACATCCTAGCGCCATCAGCATTTCATTCCGAAGAAGAGCAGACATAGGTTATTGATCCACCCTTGAATCGCTAAACATGGGCTCTCTCCCTCCGGCGTATACTGGATATACTACACTTATACATACAACATACATGCACTACACGTGTAAGATGTCAAACTTGTGTGTCATATTAAATAAACTAATGAGAAGCTATAAACAAAATTGACATGATCGTTCTTTGAAAGTTTGTGAATCACACTCATAAGAGAATCGCTTAATGGTTTTGTCGATGCGTTGTTACTGACCTGGTAAACATGAGCCTGGTGTTGAAAATGGGGGTGACTTCAGTTGAGGAAAACCTAGAACAAAACCGAAGAAATAACTAAGCACATCAGGCAGAAGGAGATTCTTAAGAAATCAATTACACCGAAGGGAAGGAATAAGGACGAGACTTGAGGTGCACGGCGGTCGGTCAGATATCACTGTACACCCGATATGAGTCCGTCTGTCCAGCGAGCGGGGAGTGGGGGTCTCGGGTTACGCGGCGTGTGACTATCGCACAATGAGCCCGCTATTTAGCTCCTTCCTGCTGTCGAACGCGCCGAAATCCAATAGCGTGGTAAATGCAAAGTGGGCCCGTGACCTACCGCAATTACTACGACAGATAAAATAGAAAAGATAAAATGGAGAATTGCCCGATCAAACAAGGCGATCCTCGGCCGTTTCGCACAAAGAATTGTCCCGCTAATTATATTTCTGCCGTTGAGCAAGGGAAAAAGGGGGGGGGGGGATCGATCGATTGTCACTGAACAGTGAATAACACCTGGCCAGATTTCATTGATCTAAAGACGAGAATTTTTTGCTCAACGTTCCTCAGCTACGCCACGCCACGCGTCCTCTATGCGAAGCACCACACACACTCGCGCTCGCACACACACATACGGTGACGCTGGGGCGTAAGTGGCACGAGGGGACACGTGCGGGGCGGCCGTGGCCCCATCCATGAGGACGAAGAGAGAGCGGGTCGTTTTGAACGCAGCCTCGGGGACGGCCAGAGGAGAGCAGCAGCAAACTCATCCCACTTAGAAATTTTTAATTAGGAGCAGGAGCTTAGCCTTGGTCCGTCAAGTACAGTGCTATGCAAAACACGGTATGTGCCAAAAAATTAGTAGAAATCAAAAGAAGATCTAGGAAAAGTGCGAAGTTGACCATTTTTCGATGTTTCGGGCGATTCTTAAAAAATATTGCGCACATCTGTGCCTACAGTCCTTGAGTTATTAAAATTCATAATAAACAACTCGACCAAGCATAGCACTGGGACGGCTCCATACTATATAAACAGGAAAGCATATTACCGATGAGCATGTAGAGTACTACCTGATCTATCAAAGCTATAACTCTGCACCCGTAAGACTGAGCAGTGGGCGGTGGGGCTTTGGTGTTGCTTTAACACCAGCATGCGTGGTGACATCGGCGGAAGGTGTAATGACATCTTTTGTGCCGGGGTTGGCGGCGGCGCTGGTCCCGGCGCGCACAGGGGCGCTAGGCATTCACCCCTTTCACCCCGCAGCCGCACACTCGCTTTGACTGCACCGCTTATCCCGCTGAATATCGCATTTTATTTGGCTATTGTGCGTGTGGAGCGGGGGTCGACCTCTACGGGGCCTTTGCCTTTGCAGCGAGAGATGTATGACTCATTGCTTTTAAGCCTAGACGTTTATAGATTACTGTTGAAACGTGATCTTTATTTACTTCCTTCCCTGGGAAAACATGTCAGGCGTTAAGTCACACCTTGAAAAAAAGTGTTTAGGGTTAAGTTCTTTCACAAAGGCATTGAAACTGCCTAAGTTACTCATTTATAGCATTTTTAGGAGTCGTTGGTGCTTTACAGTGGCATAAAACTTAAAATTTCTGCAAAGGTGAGACTTGTGACTCTGTTTAGGCCTGCTGAGGAAGAGACTTTTTTTCTTCTTTTTAAAATGCCTGCAAGGTCGACGTTTATCTTTTAAAACACCGACACGGAAGTTCGAAAGAGAAGACGGCAAAGGGACAAACGGGCTTTGCGGGCAGAGACGGTGCTGAGCCATTTTATCGTTTGACATCGCTCCGCTGACGATCACAGAATCCTGGGCCGCTCATGAGCGCACTCCCATCCCTCTTTCCAACTCTTCTACAGCAGCAAACGGGACAGAGCGAGAAAATCACAGAGAGCAGGGAGAAAAATTCCACGGCTGTTGGAAAAGGACAAGAAAAAGAAAAGTGAAATACAATTCGATGCGAAAAACGATTGAAGATTAATTCAAGCTCCAGTATAATTCGCACGTTGTATTCTCTCTCTCTCTCTCTCTCCAACACACACCGACAAGGCAAACCTAATGTGCTTTTGCCCAGTGGGCTTGTCATCGGCGGAGCGCGTGTTGCAGATAGGATGAGGCAAGATGATGATGATTGGAAGCTGTTATAAGCGGGCTGCAGCAACTGTTTGACGAGGCGGGGACGCCCCTCCCCGCCACGCCTTCTTTCCGCCCACCGCAATTACCGAATCAGCACGTCCCCAGCACCGTGCACTGACAGCGAGCGAGAGAGCGAGAGAGAGACCACCCCCCGTACGTACGTGTCACAAACAGCTCCGGCCGCGGGTAAAAGCTGTTGGCGCACGCGGCTGATTGCAGGTCCAACCAGAAAAGAGGCGGAATTATGTTTTTCTCTCGCTCGCACTCCTACTTTAGAAGCCACTGTATCTTTGTAAATAGCCAATGTCACCCCGGCTGCTCGAGCAGCGACACCGGGCCGCTTTAGGCTCGTCACTCAATTATTTAAGAAAGTGATTAATTCTACGTTGTCTCACATGTCTCCTAATAGTTTTAACACAGCCTCTACTTGGCTTCTATTAAAGACTCCCAATTTGATTGATCACAAAATGTATAAGTCAGGTGTGAAAAAAATGCACTACCCAACCATTAGCTGACAGTTACGCGCACAACCTGATATTATACTGCTTAGGTAAAGATGGGCTGATTTACTTACGCAACATTACAAGTTCTCAACTCAGTCCATCGAACAATTTTGAGAACAGATTTGAAAATTTGTAGGGTAAGGTGCCGTATTATGGCCACTGTCCCATTGATGGCCACTTTTCTCGATTTCCAGGCAGTCTGGTCTTTTCGCAATCTTGGCCTTGATGTAGTGTTCTAGTAAGGTCCCTACTTGGGCATAATAAGCCAGACTACTTCACATCGTTGTTTACATTACAAGAAAAAGGGGTGGCCATCATTGGGCAGGCCCATTCTTAAGGTGGCCATCATAGGGCATCTTACCCTTAGACCATTCTTATACAGTCAAACCACCCCCTTACCCCTCCCCGACGCAAGAAGACAACCAAAATCTACGTTGATCGATCTGTCGCGCTCGCTATTTCGCGAGTTTCTTGTTTCGCGTACTTTCTTTCCCTGTTTGGTCGCCCCAAAATCACCTCTCAATTACTCGGAGGGAGCGGGCTTGGAAAGTGCCAGGGAGCAGGGAGGCGACCAACGACGCCGCACAGCAGTACAGCCCGTTGCTACTTGTCGTCCTCGAAAACTTGTCTAAAAACAGTAACTATCGACCAACTTCGTTCGGTTCGGTTCCTCGGGGACGTGTGTCGCGCGGAACACGAGACGACAAAAAGAGGGAAGCGGTGAGCGTCAGCCGGGAGGTGTGAGGACAACAGCGAGCACTCGAGCAAGGGCCCCAGAGCACCCAACACACACACACACACACACACACACACACAGTCTGTGCGGCCTCGGCGGGCCACAAGGGCACCTGGGAAAGTGGGGCGCATTTATCGTTCAACCCGGCTGTGTGTTAGGAAGGGGGAAAGAGGGGAGGGGGCACAGCAGGTCTACTGGTCTACCAAAAGCACGTGCAAAATATTTAAAACACTACGTCATAGTTCTCTCTCTCCCCCTCTCTCTTTCTCTCAACACGTCGTCGTAACGCCTCCCCACAGCCGAGTGCGTGAGGATACAGGCTGACGGAGCAGCAACAGCAAAGGGTTGGGTCGGTTAGGGTCAGTCTTTCCTCCCCCTCACCTCGTTGCATCCAAGGCGAGGGAGAGAGACAGAACGAGCTGGCAAGAGAGAGCAAGAGCTAGTGCGAGAGATCCGAGTCTGCGTTGGCAAGCTCCCCTACCCGTGTTCGATCCACCAGAGCCACCCCCTCCTCTCTCTCTCTCTCTCTCTCTCTCTCCCGCCCCGACCCCCTACAGCCCCGCCATTCATACGTTGCGTATGCGGAGCTGCGTGCCGAGCCGAGTAGTTCAGGACGGGGCACTCTGGCCAAGTGGGAGTAGACCAAGTTGCAGTTCTATAGAGGCCTTGTTGGCCTCCTTTAGGGGGCTACTCACACATGCGCGCTTTGGCGCCCCCTTCTGAGCCCCCAGGCCAGAGGAGAAACCCCCTTTCGAATCATGGGTCATGGGTATAATACCAGTGTCATCCAAACTCACGCGTCTTTCCGGACTGGCAAACTAAAGCATGAATTAGCGGTTGGTGACGTCACCCCTGCTAGGTGTCGGTGAGTCAGAGTTGTCGCCTACCTGCGCTGGACCGCAGACTCCGCAATTAATCTGATTACGGCCAACCCTAATTACGCGACGACACTTCCTTCGGTTCTCTTTCTTCCTCTCTCATTTTTTTGACTCCCTCCTCGTCTAGCAGATCTCCTTCTCTCTCTCCTTCTCGCTGCCCTTCATTCACCGTTTTCATTGCTCGCCCCTTTTTTCCCTTTTCTTCCGATGACAATGCCCCAGGTGTCAAATGTTCCCCAGTCGAGACGCTCCCATTCAGTAGGTCCCGTCAGCCCCCCTCCCCCCTTTTCCCGATGGCCCGCGCCACCAAGCCCGGATGTGCAACCAAAATAAATATTATGTCCCCCGAAGACATTTTCCCCGTTAACACGTTGATACCCACCACAGTCTATTATATCACCACTAAAGTAGCTCTTTAGGTTGCAGAATTTGAATCATCTACCCGGCGTGCAAGTTCGTATTAATTACCTGTTTCATTTTACAACTGCACTGTTGAATTCTTGAAAAGCAATGATTTTGCAAATTGAAAAGGATTTGGGTGTTGTGTAGAATACTTTGCAATATCGAAGCTATTTGTAATTACGAATTATTCACTCTCATCGCAGGTCTACAAAGCAAGACTAAGTAGACTGTTAAACTCGCTGTTAACAGTGTGCGTTATAAAAATTAAATCTTTTAGTGGTATGAGTTCAGCCAGAAATTGAAGCCCAAGACACACTGAGTCGCGCTCTAAACAAAGAAAATGGATCACTCTTTTTGAGATGCTACTTTCATAATTTTTAGGCAGTG